CCACGTGGCAAGCACTAAGTAAAGGGCAATTTACTATGATTATGCCAATATGTGTGATCAATTCCCAAGCAAATGTTTGTGTAACCCCTGCTAGAGGGAGAAATCTTCCAGCCTTGGCTGGAGAGGGTGGCGAATCCAGGGTCTGTATTTTTTAAAATGTCTACAGGTTCTTCTCATGTGCAAATTGATATCCCAGCATGAGAACTGTAACCCAACAGAAAACCCAAAAGACCATGGACAATGATGGGTAGACGACAGCCCAATCTTTTCTGCCGCAGATGGGTGGTTCCACTCAGGAAGACTGAGTTAGAGGCTCAGAGTCTTAGCTAAGGACAAGCAAGTCGGAACTTCTAATATGAGCTAATGCCATCGACGGGGGAGGGCAGTTCAGCACAAGAAGGGAGCGCCGGGTGAGTTAGCATGGAAGTTTCATCCTGGATCCATACCGTGATGGATTTGGGTTCAGGGGGGTAAAAGCCCTGCTTCCCTGGGGCATGGACCGGATTCCACAAGAGGCTGAGACAGGAAATATGAAGCAGAGAAAAATTCCCCCAGGAGACTCCCGAGTCTGGGTGCCAGGGTGGGTGATGGACGAGCACGGTCCCAGTGCCACCCACACCACAGGGCTCCGAGGGGCTGCGGAGCTGCGCGCTCCCGGGCGGACCTCAGACCTGCCTGCAGCGCTCCGGGCTGCGGCCTGGGGAGCGGCTTCAGCAGCAGGCTGGCCCCATCATTCTCGTAGGTGCTGCAATGACCCCCACCCCTGTGGCCACGGTGTCCCCAAGCCAAGGGTCTAAGTGACTTCAACCCTATTTACAGGTGACCACAGCCGGTTAGCCTGTGCTGCTCAAAAGGAAGATCCCACATGGGGCTTTGATGTGTTAGGGGGGTTGCTAATACCTGGCCTGCTTTGAATCGTTTCATCCTGACAGCAGCCTGGGCAGTGGAAGTTTCATCTCCCAAATTTATTTCAACTTTTTTTGTTGAAAGTATAGTTGGTTTACAATATTGTGTTAATTCTTGGTGTACAGCATAGTGATTCATATATATATATATATTCCTTGTCATATACTTTTCCACTATAGACTATTAAAAGTTATTGAATGTAGTTCCCTGTGCTATAGAGTAGGATCTTGTTGATTGAAACAAAAATTACTAAACAAAGTAACAAAATAAGCAAACTAAACCTAGCCATGTTTATGACACAGTTGAGTTTATCTCAGGATTTAAATGTGGTTTAGGTCTCCAGGATCTCTTTATCAACTTATCATAAGTAAAGAACCTGTGGACCACTTCTCAGAAAAATGTTTCTATATCTTAAAATTTAAGATTTAGAGAATAAAGAAGGAATATAATTATACTGTATAGCAGATATCAAAATATAGAAATGGGCATTTGTGATACAGTAATATCTGAATTATTGGAAGAACGTGTTGATTTAGAGGATCCAGTGGTGGGTCTACTAACCGCAACATTCTGCCATAGCAGTGAGTGTAAATCATCTTCTGAGATCTGCAACAATTGCATTTAGAATGTAAATAAAGTTAAATAACAAATAAGCCATGAGGTGTCGATTCAGATTCAGGGTTATTTTGAGTCCATATCCCCACCACTTCCCAGAGCTCCCTGCTCTTCCCCTAATGTTATTGAATGAGGTGGGGAATGTTTGTGAAGCGAAGGGCATGTTCCATTCAAAGAAATCTCATAGCAAACCTGGGAGCATGGCCAGTAAAAGGTTAACGATGAGATCAGAGGCAGTGGGAAACATAGCAGGGACAGATCTTCACAAGTCACATTATGTACTCAGTGTGTGTCCATATGTGTGTGCATACAGATGTGTGGGCATGCATGATGTATACACTTGCCTTTTCTGTGAAGCTGCCTCACTGTCCAAATTTGAAATCCATCCAAACGTGCAGTGCAGTCAGCCAAAGCTCAGCCAGACGCTAAGTTGTCTGTTATTGCTCTGTCTCTTCTGCTGAACTCCACAAGAAAGCCACATGCCAGCTGTTTCTTTCAGGGACAATAGCTCTGTAGGCTACAGGTGCATGCCTTGTTTCACTGCGAACTCCGATTCCATTTCAGGACAAATTCCCATTTGAAAAAGGGGAAGCATTCAGTTGGCCCGCAAGCCTCTGAGTGAGGAAAAAGATAACCTTCTAAGACAGCATCCAGGAGGGGGCAGAGCACTGGGCTTCAAGTCGAGGCTGTGTTTCATTCAAGCTCTGCACTGACTTTGAGGCGGCATGTC